TCACTTATATGTGAAATCTAAAAAAACTGATACAAATGTATTTATTTACAAAACAGAAACAGACTCACAGACATAGAAAATGAACTTACGGTTACCAAAGGGGAAAGGGGGGAGGGATAAATTGGGAGTTTGGGATTAACATATACACACTACTATATATAAAATGGATAACCAACAAGGACCTACTGTATAGCACAGGGAACTATACTCAGTATCTTGTAATAACCTATAATGGAAAAGAATCTGAAAAAGAATATGTATATATATGTATGTGTAGCTAAATCACTTTGCTGTAACCTGAAACTAACACAACATTGTAAATCAACTATACGTCAATAAAATTTAAAAAAAAAATGATACTGACAATTGTCTTATGAGGTAGATGGGATGTATTTTGTTATTATTATTTTACAGATGAGGAAACTGAGGCTCAGTGAGTTGAAGGGACTTGTTCAAGGTCACACAGTTAGAGAAGGGAGGTTAGTAACCAGATCTTCCAAATCGGCATAACCTCTTTCCATGTCATTTATATATTGGTAGTCGGTCCTACCTATTTACTTTATTTTATTATTTGCCTCACATTAAACATTTTTCTTGGGAGGAAAAGTATATATACTACAAAAACGCAAATAGAGGATCAAAGGATTCTTTTTAACATGAGAGGTTTTTTTAATAAAGAAGCTGTGTTGGGGACTTCCCTGGTGGGGCAATGGTTAAGAATCCACCTGCCAATGCAGGGGACACGGGTTCGAGCCCTGATCTGGGAAGATCCCACATACCCCAGAGCAACTAAGCCCATGCACCACAGCTACTGAGGCCGCGTGCCACAACTACTGAAGCCTGTGCATCTAGAGCCCATGCTCCACAACAAGAGAGGCCACCGCAATGAGAAGCCTGTGCACCACAACGAAGAGTAGCCCCTGCTCACTGCAGCTAGAGAAAGCCTGCGCACAGCAGCAAAGATCCAATGCAGCCAAGACCCAATGCAGCCAAAAATAAAGAAAGAAAGAAAATTTCAAAAAGAAAATTCAGTTATATTTTTTTTTAAATTTCTCTTTGGGGAGTTCCCTGGTGGCCTAGTGGTTAGGATTCTGGGCTTTCACTGCTGTGGCCCTGGTTCAACCCCTGGTCAGGGAACTGAGATCCTGCAAGCTGCCCAGCACAGCCAAAAAAAAAAAAGAAAAAGAAAAAGAAAAGAAAAGAAATTCTCTTCGAACTACCAGAATTTTAATGAACTCTTCAGAAGAACCACAAAAAGCTATCGATGTTGGAAATTAAATAATATAACTCCTGGCATCTCGGACAGCTTAACGAATCTCTCTAAAATGAATAGTTTATTTTTCCTCAGTGATCATGCCATCATTTGGTTGTGCTGCATTTTCTTTGGGAAATCTCAAAGCATTTAGCTAACAAGATTTCATGGTTATTCCCAAAGAAACCTGATCCAGCTATAAAGGTTTATATTCCAATCCAATGAAATCAGTGCATCCCTTCCCCAGTTAATCTGTATGTTTCTCTTCTTGCCATAGACTGTCATATAAATATGTTAACAGTGTTAGGTATATTGTTTTTAATGATCTGGCCATTTGTTTTATCAAGTAGTGCCTTTCCTTTATTTATTAATTATATTCATTCATGGTGACATTGAAAAGGCCCTACCTCCTGGGGACACTTGCTGCTTTGGGATCTGATTTAATGGATACGTAGAATGACACGGCAAACCAGTGAATGACTAAATAAGTGAAGGAGTGAGTGAATGAATGAGTGATTGCCTCCATTTCATGGATGAGACACGGTCTGAGGGGCGTGTGAGGTCAGGTGATGGGCAGAAAGCCATACACTGATGTCGTAGCAGTGCCCAGTCGACAGATGCCAAGATTATTTTCTTTGCTCTGTTTATCTATCAACTGTTTAAAATCCTCATAAAACATCAACATGAAAAAGTAGAAATGGAAAAATAAGCCACACACAAATTACATGGCTTTTTAAAATGAATGTAGGGCTTCCCTGGTGGCGCAGTGGCTGAGAGTCCGCCTGCCGATGCAGGGGACATGGGTTCGTGCCCCAGTCCGGGAAGATCCCACATGCCGCGGAGCGGCTGGGCCCGTGAGCCATGGCCTATGAGCCTGCGTGTCCGGAGCCTGTGCTCTGCAACGGGAGAGGCCACAACAGTGAGAGGCCCGCGTAATGCAAAAAATAAATAAATAAATAAAAGGAATGTAATGTGCAAAGAGTAACGAGTAAGAAGTATAGTGCGGGGGATAGTTTTTCACTTGATGGGGTGTATACATTATTCACTGTGAGTCCTCCCTCTCCGTCAAATGGATTCAGTAATTCTTTTGGGTAATGCTCTTTGTATTTTTTTGCATAAAACACACCCCAGAGCAACTAAGCCCATGCACCACAGCTACTGAGGCCGCGTGCCACAACTACTGAAGCCTGTGCATCTAGAGCCCATGCTCCACAACAAGAGAGGCCACCGCAATGAGAAGCCTGTGCACCACAACGAAGAGTAGCCCCTGCTCACTGCAGCTAGAGAAAGCCTGCGCACAGCAGCAAAGATCCAATGCAGCCAAGACCCAATGCAGCCAAAAATAAAGAAAGAAAGAAAATTTCAAAAAGAAAATTCAGTTATATTTTTTTTTAAATTTCTCTTTGGGGAGTTCCCTGGTGGCCTAGTGGTTAGGATTCTGGGCTTTCACTGCTGTGGCCCTGGTTCAACCCCTGGTCAGGGAACTGAGATCCTGCAAGCTGCCCAGCACAGCCAAAAAAAAAAAAGAAAAAGAAAAAGAAAAGAAAAGAAATTCTCTTCGAACTACCAGAATTTTAATGAACTCTTCAGAAGAACCACAAAAAGCTATCGATGTTGGAAATTAAATAATATAACTCCTGGCATCTCGGACAGCTTAACGAATCTCTCTAAAATGAATAGTTTATTTTTCCTCAGTGATCATGCCATCATTTGGTTGTGCTGCATTTTCTTTGGGAAATCTCAAAGCATTTAGCTAACAAGATTTCATGGTTATTCCCAAAGAAACCTGATCCAGCTATAAAGGTTTATATTCCAATCCAATGAAATCAGTGCATCCCTTCCCCAGTTAATCTGTATGTTTCTCTTCTTGCCATAGACTGTCATATAAATATGTTAACAGTGTTAGGTATATTGTTTTTAATGATCTGGCCATTTGTTTTATCAAGTAGTGCCTTTCCTTTATTTATTAATTATATTCATTCATGGTGACATTGAAAAGGCCCTACCTCCTGGGGACACTTGCTGCTTTGGGATCTGATTTAATGGATACGTAGAATGACACGGCAAACCAGTGAATGACTAAATAAGTGAAGGAGTGAGTGAATGAATGAGTGATTGCCTCCATTTCATGGATGAGACACGGTCTGAGGGGCGTGTGAGGTCAGGTGATGGGCAGAAAGCCATACACTGATGTCGTAGCAGTGCCCAGTCGACAGATGCCAAGATTATTTTCTTTGCTCTGTTTATCTATCAACTGTTTAAAATCCTCATAAAACATCAACATGAAAAAGTAGAAATGGAAAAATAAGCCACACACAAATTACATGGCTTTTTAAAATGAATGTAGGGCTTCCCTGGTGGCGCAGTGGCTGAGAGTCCGCCTGCCGATGCAGGGGACATGGGTTCGTGCCCCAGTCCGGGAAGATCCCACATGCCGCGGAGCGGCTGGGCCCGTGAGCCATGGCCTATGAGCCTGCGTGTCCGGAGCCTGTGCTCTGCAACGGGAGAGGCCACAACAGTGAGAGGCCCGCGTAATGCAAAAAATAAATAAATAAATAAAAGGAATGTAATGTGCAAAGAGTAACGAGTAAGAAGTATAGTGCGGGGGATAGTTTTTCACTTGATGGGGTGTATACATTATTCACTGTGAGTCCTCCCTCTCCGTCAAATGGATTCAGTAATTCTTTTGGGTAATGCTCTTTGTATTTTTTTGCATAAAACACTTTGGGTATATGCCCATTGTGTTCTTTTTAAACAGACTCCTTTAGTGGAAAACACACACACACGCAATTACGTTCACGGTTGCCCACTGTATTATGACAAGTAGGAAGAGGACACTAGAAAGGTCCTACATAATGAGAGATCATCCATTGTCATATGTACACTTGCACTTTATTTCATTTTTCTCCACATTTGGACAGATCAGGAATAAATTTGATTACGTTTCCATTGAGAGCCTTTTTTTTCCCCAGGAATACATATCGACAGAATTTCAATGAGCATAAAATAAAAACGTTCTGCATTTTATATGAAAGTTTGATTTAAATGGTCCCAACAACAAAAAGAAAAGAAATAAGCTGTTAAAGTAACCCTCCCAAGGGGAGTCAACTGTTTTTCAGTGCTTCCTGCGCTGGTGCCTTCTCTCCATCCGCTGCTCAGATATTCGTGAATTGCTGCGCCTTCCAGCACTGCGTTCTCTCTCCCTCTGCTTTTGTGGCGCGGCTCTCCCTCCCTCCCTCTGGCTTCGGGTCTTTCTTACTCCTTCTCTCAGCTGCTTAACTACAGCTCCCGCTGGAACTTGCACAATCAAAAACAGCTCTCCTCTCCAGCAGCCTCCAGAAGCGCATCACCTGGAGCAGAGCGACTCGCCCAGTGCACCCGCCGCAGAGCGGCCAGGTAGCTGGGGCCGCGCAGCGGGTGCCCTTCTCCGGCTCCGCGGCAGCAGGAGCCTCTCCCCGGAATCCGCTGCATCCCGGGATCCTGTAGCGGTGATGCCTGCGTTTCGGAGCAATGATGCAAAGAGAAGAGCCACTGCCGGTGACAACTGAGAGTGGGGAGAGGTTGCTGCAGTAGCCAGTGCTGCAGAAGCCAGTGCTGCAGAATGTGTGAGTGAAAACCTGAGCCCTGCTAGATTCTCCATCACGCTCGGTCTTCGTTAACTATCTCCAGGAGGCACACCGGGAACCAGATGCATTGACCAGGCAGGTGCCACCCTGGATCTGTAACTGTGAACTCCCCACTGTGGAAAATGGTAAACAAAGACATGAATGGATTCCCAGTCAAGAAATGCTCAGCCTTCCAATTTTTTAAGAAGCGGGTAAGGACAGGTTTTGTCTGTTTCTTTTGTCTTCTGCTCTTGTCTGAAATGCCTTTGATTGCTTGCCTGAGGTAAGCCTAAGGTTCAGTTGCAGAGCCCTGAATGGAAGCCGCGTGTCTGGTAGCAGTGGTCCAGCTAGGAAATATACCTGCCTTGATACAAATTTGTGGGTGGGGGCCCGGAAGAGTTGCTTTGGGAGAAGGGTGTTGGGCTGAGATGTCTTAAGGAAGGTTTAGAGCTGGGAATGGGAATTTCTCAATCAAAGCCACAAGATTACAAGCAGTTTCAAAGAGAATTGGCCTGGGTAGAGTTACGGCTAGCAATTTAGTCAGGGACTAATTCAGTAGCTCACTCTTGCTCTCTGTTATCTTGAAGGCTTCAACTTTTCCCACACCTTTCATTCACTCTGTCAAGTGCTGCATTATCATCTTCCTGCCTCAGAAGCAGCAGCCTCTAGCTTTCCAAATCCGTCCAGCCAATAACTTGCTGAGTTTCTATCTATGGTAAAAATAGCAAAGGACTAGAATGACCTTTTACAGAAATGATGGAATCCAGCATTTTAAATCCTCTATTTCAAGGATGCCTCAATTTTACTTGGTCCAACTGCCTTTCTTTTTTGTGGGCAGTCTGAATTCAAGTGATAACATGGGGTTATGCTGCTGTATACTTTTATTTCTTGAATTCCTTATTCTATTCAGAGAGTTAACATTACATTGCTTGTAAATGAGCAAATAAAATAAAATACAATAGAGGGGAGGTTCTTTTTTGTGTTTCACAATAAACTCAGTTCATTGTAATGGTCCCACTGGTGGTCTGCGTAAATCTGCAAATTTATACACAAGTGGGAGGTAAGAAATGAATGATTGCTAAGCAACTGATGACTGACACTCCAATGGAGAGTTTCTTTAGCAACAGAAGCTTCCTCCAGTCCCCAGCTGCCCAGCTTATTTAATACCCTGGGGCAATTCCATCAAAATGGCTCTCTTCATTCATTCTTCTGTTCCTTCATTCAGGTCTTTTCTGTGCCGCTCCTGAAACATTAGCCCTTCACTTAAACCAGCAGCAGCACACAGTGAATTATACACTGGGCTGGACTACCTCCTACATCAAGTGGGCAAGCTGGGGAGGTAGGGCTGGGAACAGCGTGTCAGGCCAGGCCAGAGGGCTAACACAGGTTCCCACACGCCTGTGACTGAATTCTCATCAGTAAGGCAAAATCTTCCCTAAAGTCCACGGACCAAAACGTATGCATTAAAACCAAAGCACAACCCACGCTGCCCTGGCCGCTGCTCCTGGAGCCCCAGCAGCAGGCAAGGTCTCCCACTAGAGGAGACTCAAGTTGATTTTTTTAGGTTTTCTCTTATTTTCTTTGCTATCGAAATGTACTAATATGAATATTAATTTACTGTCTAGTTTCTTTTTTGCTTAAGAGCATGATTTACCAATAGCCTTCAGCTGGTGCCTCTGTAGACCTTGGATTTGACAAAGAACTAACCAGGGTACTGATGTCTAATCTGAGTACTTGCAGAGAGAAAGAACTTTACACCAAGATATCCGGCTGGCAGCTTCATCTGCCTTTGAACCTGGGTCTATCACTTGCTGGAGATAGGATCAGAAATGCCCCCTCCTGCTGTCTGTACTCTTCAAGGATGGAACTAAGCAGAATATGACTTTGTGTCAAGTCATGGATGGCCCTAAGAATAAAGTCCTTGATTCTTGTCCATACGTTCTCTTTTCTGAAAGTTCTTTTCAGTTTGTACGATGACTTTGCTTTAGGTTTTGCTTTTCATTTGTTTGTTTGTTTGGGATCTTTATTTACACAGCTAATATGTAAATAAATGTGTAAAACACTAAGATAATATCCAGGTAAATCCCTCCTCCTCCCTTCTCCAGAGGTAACTGTTGTTACTGTGTTGGTGTCTATCCTTTCCAGATCTTTTCTATGCATCTGCATATACATTTATATATTAGAATGCCTTTGTTTTCAGCTAAGAATAATCCATTTTTCTTATATGTTATTGTTGAAGTTCCACACATTTCTGCACATTTTATTTTTACCCTACTTAGACAGTCTTATAAAGTGAACCTTTGTGCCCACGTTAAACCATGAATAGATCTTGGAAAAAAAGCCATAGGTTTTTTAGGGCTTACTAAAAACATGGAGGTTTGGACCCAAATTTTGATGGCAGAAAGCTTAAATAGTGTTTTCTATGCCTCTGAGACATTTCAAAAGGGGCGTAATAAGGTCACAAAAAGGGAAGGCAGAACGATCCACCCTATCATTCATTTAGGATAGTAAGTGTAGCACCATTTATTCAGTGCTTACTGTGTTCTCCAAGTTATGGGTCAAGTGCTTTATATGTGTTAGCTCTTTAAATCCTCATAGCCACCCTATGAAGTAAGAAAGCTTATTAAATGTGCAAAGGATGGCTTAAAAGAGATTAAACAACCAGCCCAAGATCACTTAGCTAAAAAGTAGCAGAGCCAAAATTCAAACTTTCTTTGACCCAAAGCCCTTATTCTTAATCCAGACTTTCTAATTCAAATCATGCTCCTAGGGACTTCCCTCCCTGGTGGTCCAGTGGTTAAGACTCTGCCCTCCCATTGTAGGCGGCCCCCTGAGTTCAATCCCTGGTCAGGGAACTAGATCCCACATGCTGCAACTAAAAAAAAAAAAAAAAAAAAAAAACCATTCCACATTTTGTGTCACTAAGAGAAAAGGAACAGCACACTTCTAACTCTTGTGCCCAAGTTGATTTTGTGTGCATGCTGAAAAAAAAAAAAAAAAAAAAAAAAAGATCCCACATGCCTCAACAAAGATCTCGCAGGTGGCAATGAAGATCCCTCGCGCCACAAATAAGATATGGCACAGCAAAAATAAATAAATAAATATTTAAAAACAAACAAACAAAATTATGCTCCCACCTTTTTTTTTTTCCATAACAGAATCTTTTCTTTCCCCAAATGAAATCTTTATGCCATTACACAATTTATAAAACCTATGAAGGCAGCCAATCCTCAGTTGATGTCTCTCGAAGCTCCTTTCCAACCCTCAGTCATGACCGAGGCAGCTCTGGGGAGCCCAGCTTCAGGGAACACAATCTGAAGAAAGACATTCCCGGTGCTAGTTTGCCCAAATCCTTTGGATTGATGCTTTCCACGCTCATGTCTTAGAAGCTCAACTAAATCAGCTTTAGTTGAGAATTGCTAAGCTAACCTCAGTAAGAGTTCTGCTTTCACTCTCTACGTGTTAATGATAAGTTAACATTAGATGCCAATGGATTATGTTTTATTCTTAGAACCTCTGAAAAATTTGTTTAAGATGAATGCAAAAATGTTCTTATCAGCTTTATTGTTACAATCCAAGAGCTTTAAAAGTTAACATGTATGCTAAAGATAATCCATTTTCATGGATTTAAAGATTTGTTCATAGTTCAGATTCTTGCATTATGACTCAGAAAACACCAACAAATGACGTTATCTTCAACTTGATAATCCATTTTGGAAATATGCTAGGTATGTAAAAAGACTTCTATACATCTTTTGTAACATTTCAAAGGATAACTAACCCATATGGAATTTTGGATTTGGAATGCACCTTAGAAATTCTTTCATTGACCTCCCTATTTTAAAGATTTAGAAACTGAGTGCTTGGCAGGTGAATCACTAACTCAAATTAAAATGAGGCTAACCACCCCTTACAGGTAGGGTTTTCACTTCCAAATCAAGTGTGCTTTCCTCTTTATTATGCTCTCAAAGTAGTTCAGTGCTTTATGCCTTATTCATTCATATTTTTTTTTAGCAAATAGAGTAGGGACAAAATCCAGCTCTTGTCTTCCTAGAGCTAACTGCCTCATGACCACCAACTTTGACAGGACACAATTCTTGTCAAATTTGTCTCGACTCAGTAAGTGATACTTTTATGCTTTTGAGCGATCCCTTGCATTGTTCTTTACTAATGACACATTTTATAATAACTATCACTTATACAGCACGAATATCACTGACCACTGTTCTAAGAGGCTTTCATATACTACATATTTAATTTCTCAAACATGAAAAGTCTAAGGGAGATATTATTGTTACCCCAATATCACAGATGTAGAAGGTGAGGTGGGCCAAGGAGGAGGAGTCTTACATCATACAGGTAGTTCGTGGCAGAGTTAGGGTTTGGGTCAAAGCATCTGGCTGCAGAGTCTGTATCCTTCACTGCTGTACATCCTGTCTGTGACGTCAAACAATCCAGCGTGGTCAGAAGAGACATGAAAAGGTCTGATGGCCCTAGCTTCGTCCTTTCTCTAAAAATGATGGGGAACAAAGCAAAGGGTTTCAGCCTGGTATGATGTTTCCTCTAGCAGAGCTGAGAGATGAAATTAACATCCCTGAAGTGGTTATTCTCCACCACCGTTCCATACACCGCATCCCTTTACATCTCATTTCCCTTTACTGTTCTATTATGTCTGCTTAAAGCAACTGAATTGGAATGATAACGAAGGTCCTTTTCTTATGCGAAGCCCTTTACGGCTTCTCAGGAGGCTAGAGTTTATTGAGTGTTTACTAAGGGTCAGGCCTTACTAGTGCAGCACTTTACTCGTGTAATCGGCACAGTCACTCCATTATGCCCATTTCACAGCCAAGGAAACTGAGTCAGAGAAGTTAAGTAACTGGTCCAAGGTCATGGTGCTAGGAAGAGGTGTAGCCAGAATCCAAACTCAGGCAGTCAGCTTTAGCACCACCAGTATTTCCATTTGCCCCACTGGAGTGAATGGCTATGAGGCTAACACCGCTTCAGGGTTAGCTCTTCCCACTGGATCATCTGTGAAGATGATCCAGAGAGGATTACTTGGCCGAGGGGGCGGGGTGGTGGTGGTGGTCATAGCTGTGGAGAATTACATTTCCCACACGACTCCTCAGGGCCGTAGGAATCAGAAGTCTGCGTCAGATTTCTCCAAGATATATTTGATCATATTTCCTGGAACCATGGTGGAGATTCCAATGGC